AATGAATGAATGAATGAATGAATGAATGAATGGATGAACGAATGAATGAATGAACGAACGATGAAAAGTAAAAATCATAATTGAAATTAAAATCAAAAATCAGCTATTACATAAAGAACACTGTCACAACAGTGGTCTAATTTCCTTATACCACTGATTTGAGGGACTTGAATTTGAAACTTTTTTGTTTAGTTTTGGCCATAGAAATGGACCTTGATATTGGAAAGTCAGCGTTCCTTAAGTTGTAATGAACAGCATCGACTTCTCCGAACCCTGGATGTATGAGGTACATAGAGAGAATAGCTATCTTCGCCAGAAGTGCTATGCAGTATGACAGACTTGTATAGGATAAGTTTARCTTTGATACGTATCCGTATTCCGTGACCGCATTAAAACTCCCAGCACCTAATAGTGTTACTGAGATCTGCTAAAATAACAAACTAAGTTCAGTAATGACTTGGTCTGCTTATTTGGATACTTTCATCGATCTTTTCAGCACTCGAAGATCCATTTCGTATCTCCAAGCGCTCGTGTAATATCCATCCTCTATTTGTATATATACGAACACAACATACTATAAATCCTGATAAGAGTGGTACAATAAGGTTGTCGTTTCACCCTAGTGGATAGATGATTCATTATGAACTATGGCTACACTTTGCTATACAATGTGGCAGTCTCAGAACAGCAAATTGCTCTCTTGATGGAAGAGGTCGAAATGGGGCAATGATGTAAAGTAATATCTAAGCGGTACAGACTGTTCACGTCAAAAAGAGGGGAATTTTGTAAAAAAATCTCACTCAAGTCACTTGATGTGTTATGAGAGTCACTGCGAACCGTATTTTTAATCAGAAAAATAAAAACAGCACAGTAGTATGTCCCTCGAAGCAAAACGCAAAATAGGAGGAATCTTGTAAATATGATTTTGACGAAGCAGAAATGACAAGTCATTCATTTTGGAAAGTGTCAGAACTGCGTACGCYATAGACATCAATGAAGGTGAGGTTTCAAAAAAATGAGTCTACAAAAATGGAAATAAACACCATCAAATGTTGACGATATACTGTATATGTCTGTATTTGTCTAATATATCCATATTCCAAGAATGGGATATCTATTATTCGAATATGGATAGAAAGACATAGTATATCGTAAACATT